ACCAAGGACAAAAGGAAATGCTAATTCTGAGACATATGCTGACATGCTATTCATTTCCATAACAAGAAAAGGACCTAGAAAGCACAAATGCCCAATATGTCTGGTGGATAAGATTAAAACATGGAGAAGATGATTTGATCATGGATTATGAGCACATGCTACTATCCATAAGAATAAAAGACAACTCATTCTCGTGAATGTTTAATCTAAAATTAGATAGATAAATTCGTAATACCATTGGAATATTACTTCTAGTACTTTGATAAATTTGATGCAGATTAGTGCACGTAGCCATAACAAACCGATAATATCACTAAAAATAGTAGTGTCCTTTTGGGTTACATGCAAGAGCAAATTAAAGCAGAACTAAAAATATATTTATTTTAGGGACTTGTTTTGTTAATTAATTATTAGTTTGATTAATTAATTAGAAAACATATAGAATATGGAATATTCTAAAATGATTAGATTCTTGGATATTACCGAAAAGCTAGATAATTACAAATATATTTGGTGCTTATCTCTATGGTGTCAAATCATCCCCTATATATAAAGGGTCAAAATTTGGTTTTGGGTGCATGAAAAACATCACCTCCAATGTTCGGAAACCCTAATAAAAACCCTAGAAGAGTCGAAGCTCGTCTTCATTTCGTGGTCCATTGTTTTCCACGTCGTGGTCAATTTCAGATTCGATAATCAATTCTTGTTCCTGCTGGTACTTGAGTTGCTTTCATATATGTTGGTGTTTAGTCTCTTGGGTGCGATCACAAGAGAAGAACTATATGTTGGGTTCTAAATTACAATCAATTGGCGAGACTAAAGAAATCGAAGAAAAAAACGAATGCATGATTCATTTTTTTAAGTTCATTAATTTGCATAGATTGTTTGAGTTAGATCTGGTTATTACGAGTCTATATATCAAAAAATATTTTTGCATCCTTTGTCACGATTTGGTCTTTGACTAGGATTGTAACCCATTAGTGGTATCAAAGCAAGGTTAATTTAAGTCTATTGCATTTTGACTTTGTCTTTGATTGTAAAATAAGGTATGTATATGTAGGATTTTGATGTTTAGATCGTTTTAAATAGTTTATAAATTTTCCTTGTTAAAACTGAATCTATTTCTGCTTGTTAAAACGATTTTTTGCTCGTTCTGCCTCTTCGTCATGACGTGGTTGGTCCTCCACCACATCGTAGTCATGTTGATGTTGAATCTGGATTGCGACTTCGTTATCGACAGTTTGTGGTCTTTACTTGGAGACGTCTTTGTGTGATGCGTAGAACATAAAACTAATATTTAATAAATTGTCACATGTTTCTATGGTCCAAGACGTGGTTGCCCATTCCCCTCCTCGCGGAACCCGTGTTCCAGAATTGTGAATTTGTTTCTTGTTTTCACTTTCCACTTTTTCAATTTAAAACACATATAAACTAGTCTTTATACTAAAAGATGAAAGTCGATTTAATTTAATTATGAGATTAATTAAAAGACAAAAGATTTGGACTTTAATAATTTAATTGTTGGCTTCATTCTTGGTTAGTCAATAAAATTAGAAGAAATAAAAAAATTAATTGTGTATATATAGTAGAATCATATTTATATGTATCACACTATAATACAAACATTGTGTCCTCACATGTTTCTTAATGCATACTGGTAGTCTTACCACGACTAGGCTCACTAACTTTATTGCTATAAGGAAAGTTCTAGGCATGTCTCTTTGATTCTAAATAAGGTTGGCTTTTAAGTGGCATTTTGTGCTCGCCGCCCTCACTGCCTTCTTTCGTTTTAAGTAAAGCTACCGAAAGGGTTTGATAGGATAATTGTATATAGTTAAAAGTATTAACTTAATAAGTAATAAAACAAAATCATATTTTTATAAAAATATGAACCTTATGTTTCCGATGGAAATTACACCGTGGCGTGTATTCTTTTTGGCGTTATGCTTGTATGGTTTACCGATGAGTCAAATAAGAATATCGTCGAAGAAAGGTATCTAGTGATCAGGATTCTCAAGTGTTACTTGAGTCGAATATCATCGTAACTTCGCATAGTCGATTCTACATTTGTATTTATGATCCTCGACTAATTTAGACATGAATGGTAAATGAGAATTAGAAGAGATTAACATGCTGTTCACATAAGTCAATAAATCTCGTCTTCTCGGAATTTCATAGAGATTGAGATCCCGAGTTGCTTGTCCACATAAATAACTTTGTTGTGTAATTTTCAGCTAATCCACTTTACATTGTGAAGCTAGGTATGGATCCTAGACTTTTAATTAATATATTGATTTTGGGTAATTATCTTAAAATGATTTCTTCCTCAAATTAATCGTGTTTCCTTTTTCTTAACAAAGGGCTCCTAGTTCGAGTGTCACTCTGCCTCCTATACCAACAACTTCATCAAACCTCTCACTACTCTAACTACTATCGCGAGATTAGCTCACTGGTCCAAACTACATTGATTGGATTGGCAACCTGAGGATCACTCTGAGGTATGAGAAAATAAATATGCACTGGACGAGTATATGGCTAAGGAGCTTCCCAGTAATGCAACTAAACATGTGTTCATTCAATATAAAAAGCATTTCCATTACTCGATAAGGTCTAGTGTCTGATGTTGGCGACACATATCCAGAACTCCAAAGGTGATTCGAGAATCTTGGGGCAATACAACATCAAAGAGCAGCTCAAATACTGTTTCAAGAGCAAGCTCGAACTAAGAGATTCAAGGTCATGCAAACAATTCTAGGTTGTAAGCAGCAGGAGAATGGTTCTATGGGTACCCATGTGCTAAAATTAAAAGGGTACTTTGATAGAATTGAATGTATTGGATTCCTATTTATTCAAGAGTTGGCTATTGATGTCTCTCTTAACTCTTTGACTAGTGCATGCAAGCAGTTCACTATGAACTACTATATGAATGGTTTATAGAAGAGTATCATGGAGTTACATGGAATGCTCAAGACAACTGAAGAAATCATGGTTCCAACTAGGAACTCAAGTTTAACTACTTATGTTCTGGATAGTAGGAAAGGCGGTGTCAAGAGGAAAAGGTCATCTCATCTCAATACTAAGGGAAAGTTGGTGCTTCCAATTCCAACCCTAAGAAGGATGTTTCTGACATACCACATGTGAATGACCCAAAAGAAGCAATATGATACTACTTCCAAGAAAATTTTCATTGGAAATGTAGCATCCTTAAATATTTGAAGGATCTCAACAATAACAAAGCCAAGGATGTTGTCTCTTCAGGTATGTTTACAATTGAATTACATTCGGCATCGGCATCTAATAATTGGATAATTGCCATTTGATGTGAAACCTACATTTTTTTGATGTGCAGGCGCTAAAACAAAGTAGGAAGTTAAGACATGGGAGCTCGAATTGATCATGGGGAACAAGAGCAAGTTAGTTGTTACCAAGATTGGAGATTACGAGCTTTCAGTGTCACCTAGTATTTCAATTAGTTTATTAAGATTACTGTTATTCCTCTTACATGGAATGAAACATTATTTCATTTTATGAATTGAAGCGTGATGGTTTCACTGTCGGATTTGATGATAATAATACTTGTATTTAGGTTTACAAAGATAATAATAATTATTAAAAAGAAAATCATTACAAGGGTGTATATGATTCTGTGATAGGTGTAAGGAAAATGATAACTTAATTTTAAGTGTTAGTTTGTCTATGTAGGTTCCTTGATCGATATTAATTAAAACTAAACAAGAACACAGAAGAATTAACGCAAAGGTATTCACTAAGAATATGTTCTCACCAAGAGAACATGCATAAAGCTCTAGGGTTCGATGATCAACCAATGATTAGAACCCTAGTATAAAAAGTACAGTAAATGCGATGTGAATCCCTACAAACCATGGATTTCACCTAGTCTACTATAATAATATGAGATCTGCTAACTAACTACGTATAAAATATAGTTACAAGAGATTACATAAGATATACATATTGCGTTGATGGTTAAGATGTTGGTGCTGATAGAGTCAACGTGGTAGTTTTACATTATTAGATTCTAAGGATTGACCTTACAATCTCCCCAGTCTGATGTTGTCAAAACCCAAAGTATTGTTCTTCATAATGATGGTAGAACTCTTCAACATCTTCTTTGACTTCTGGCTTGAACCAAAAATAGCCTAAAATACCAAGATCTTCCTTTCTATTGTTCAGTTCCATCAAGATTAAGAAGTGATAGTTTTGAGAAAGTTTTGCGAAGACAAGTGCTCAGTGGGTTATTTGACAAGATCATGTGAACGTTGTAAGCATATACGCTTAGATTCATCCATGTAGAAGATGCCATGCTCTGGTTAAATAATTAAGATGTGTTGAACTGGATGAACACTCATTGGAAAAGATTAGTCAATAACCTTGGTAACATAAGGAAGTAGAAATATGACTCCTTTGAAAGTTTTCTTCCGAGACACTAAAGCAGATGCTAAGGATAAGGAAGGTTTATCTAAGGTCTCAGGCACTATGTCAAGATCTTTAACCTTTATGATAAGTCTCTCTAGAATAAGCCTCGGTTCCTCAACATTTATTCCCTTATGCTTATTAATCAACTCAAGAAGTTACATCCATTCGTTGTACCCAAACTTTTCCAAATGTTGAGAAGAAAAAACTTCATTATATTGGCGAACAGCTTTACCCTTGTCACCACACCTAGTGATATATAATGACAACATTCTTTCAGTCTTGGTCTTGGAGCATCTTACTTTTATGATTGGACTTGGATGACTTCTTGTTAGTACATCTTCAAACCAGATTCTCTCAAGTCTAGCAATTGCACTTTCCTGCATATATTTCTCCTTTGAGGCTTTCACATTGAACTTTTTCAATCATTTAATCCAATCAAATAGAGTGCTAGAGTCAATAACCACCATTCGATTCATCTTGGAATCTCGTATGTTTTACATTCTATTAGAGGATTGAATTTTATGTTGTCTAGAAAGCTCCAAAGCATCTTTAATAGGAATACCTCAAAGATTTGTCATCTCCGAAATTGTACGTTCTATGCATTTCTGCTTGAAGGGACCAGGATCAGGGGCAGTTGAAGTCTTTCTTTTCTTACTTACTGGAACACAATCTTCATCATATTAAATTAGACTTGGTTTTGTTTAAGGAACCTGCTACCCCCTAACATCAGCACAAGTAGTATCAGTGTCAAGATATATTGTCTGAAGAGGATGCACATCAATAAAGGACATGTCTATACTATAGACTTCATCATCATCTATTTGATCAGGGGCTTAGGAATGTCCTTAATATTTTCCTTAGTTTTAACATCATTGGAATCAATTCTACTAGTGAATTCCTTAGTCGGATTACCCCTCCCCCCTCTGGAATCATCAGTTTGAGGGGATGGCACAATGGAAAGTGATAACATTTAATTATAAGGAGTTGAAGGAGGCATTTTAGAAACAAAATGTGTGGATGGTGAAGGACATGAAGGTAGTGGTATTGAAAGTGGAAACATAAAGGTGGAGGGTACATTGAATGGAGGAACTCCTATATAACCAGGTGGTGGTTGTTGGTCTCCCATGGAGGAGAATGATACCCATCTTCAGAGTCAGTGTCAATGCTTGTAATTATACGGTTGATGGAAACGAAATCTATCTCAATTATAAAAAGATGTTGATTCATGTTGGAGGTGAGTTGAACTAGAGACTCCCATGTAAAAAGAGTTTTCTCCCAAAAATATTTGACTTCAACAAGAAACTAGCATGGTAGTGATTACTCCTTCTTAACAGTTGCTTGTTTGGGAAGAATTATTTGAATAATAGGACGTTGTTCATGCTGATAAAGAGATGTAAGAGCATGTTAGACTCATGGAGCATCAAAACTACAAAATATAGGAGTTAGAACACAATCAAGAGAGGGTGTATGAGCAAGATTAACATTACCTTGATCATGTGGAGGAGTCTCAGAGATATAATCGGTGTAAGTGTCACTACCTTGCTGAACTGTAGGAGTTTTAGGAACAATCTTTTCTTCTTATTCTTCTTTAATTAATAGAGAAGACTTAAACCGAATGAGTTTGTTTGGTCAACTTGATTCAGCTTCATTGAAGTCCTGTAAGTTTGCTTTATTTTTTTGAACTTGAAAGAAAAGAACCATTTTTGTATCCTAACTGTTGTACTCGTAATTACTACCAGCATCTAAGTTCTCATTGGCAGCACCAATGTCTTTATCAGAATGAGATAGATTTTTAGTTTCAGCTTGTGAATCTTCTTTAGTGTGTTGGTTTGACACTGAGTGAGTCTCATCTCCCATTATTACATCTTCTGAGAGGAAATCACGTGTAACATACGACATTTTCTCACACTCGTATGGAGTTTTAATCCACTTCTTCATACCCTTTGTAATGATCCACTCATCAGGTCTTGATTGAACAACTTGGAGGAGGTGAAGGAATGAATCCAATCTGCATCTTGATAATCACCATAACCGGTACCAATATATTGTAGAATGAGTGCAAACCATCTATGATATGGGACATGAGTGGACCTTTTTCTACATCTGATTATCTCAACAACTTGATCAAATATCAGCTGAGCAAAGTCAAGTTGTTTATTCTTAAGAATAGAGAAAGGAATATGCTATTCAAAGGAGTTCATATGATCAAGGCTCCTAATTTTGTGAGTTAGACATTAGCCAAGAATTCCAATGAGAAATTTCAAATTAGTGGGAAGAAGTTGTCAAAGAACAATGTAGTTCTTTTCTTTCTTAAAATCATAGCCCAAATTTACTAGAACAGGACAACATTCATCCATAGTAGGGAGATGAAAATATTCATCACAAACTGGAATTTGCAAAGCTCTTCGAATATCCAATACAGTTATTGAAATCGTATAATTCCCATCATCGATTGTGCTAAAGATTACTTCAGTATCATTACAAGTATAAGTATAGTAGAACTCATAAACATGCTATGGAAGAAAAGAATCAGTTACATCGACAAGAACATAGCAAAGTTAACATGTCGAAAGATAGGACATGAAATCTTCAAATCCCTTGTTATTGTACTTCTTAGGGATTTTGGTAGAGAATGTAACATTGTTGGACATGATGACTAAAGGAGTATCAGGAGTTCCAATAACTTTGATCACATTTGGTGTGGGAGCATATGTTTAGAGAATAGATGGAGGAGCCATTGTGAATAGGGTTCTTGCAATTGAAGACAAATGAGGTCTTTTGATCACAATGAAAGCGTATTGTAATTATGATGGTATAAGACCCCTTATATCTCTCAGAGATCACCGTTGATAAGTAATCTTAAGGGAAAGAAGAATTCGCCTAAAATTTCACAGTTATCTAGGAGTGATGCATATCCCCAAATTTAAAAAGTTACCGATTTAGAATAGTAAACCGACCCAAGATAAGCATTTGGTGAGAAACAATCATCAACAAGAAAACAATAAAATCAACATCAGTACATGAAATACACAATAGAAGGATATGAGGGATTATGGTGTATTGCACTATTGTGTTGTAGCAATAGATGATCGTTTACACAATGTTGGAAGGTCTCATCATTGTATGGTTCTATACGCCGAATCATTTTACAACTTTTATTACAAGAATAATTTGGGAGATAATGGTATGATGCGCGTTATACATTCCAGTACGAATTACACCCATCAGTATAGAATGTCATCATTTTTATCAGTGTATGGATTTTGCATTGAATCATAAAATTCTTTATTTGAAGCTTCGTAGGGCAAGAATGGGTAGGTGCATGTAACATAGAACGGTACATGATATACCATTGGCACAAAATTTTCAAGCCCTCATCATCGTCTGGTATCATACACTGAATCATAAGACTTTATAGAAGAAAATAAGGAAATAAGGGGTTGGTGTGTGTGTGATAAACTATGGTGCATAACTTAACCATCAACATATAATTTCAACCTTTTATCAGTGTAAGGTATCGTATAGTCTATAAAAGAGAGACAAATTAGTACTCATTTCACATCTCAAAACACATCAAGATAAAGAGATTTTAAACACAAATAGAGAGAAATAGATGTTCTTATCCTTCAAAGATGAGATTATTCTGATGGATTCCAAGCTTCATACTAATCATGAGGAGAAGAGATTTGAAGTAACACAATCTTTGTAACCAACGAGTTAACAAGTTCTAATCTTGTAACCTTCGAGTTAAGAAATTCATCAAGACAATACTCGAAGGAACAAAGCATTATGAACTTCATAATGAGAGACAAGAGTCATTGTTTTGTAAATGATATCTTTAGATCTCATATGGGGATTGGTGTAGCAATGATAGCGTATATGAAAATTAGACGTGTCATGCTCATTATCTTCGCCTGAACATGTCTCAGTAGGTTGAGTGTCAAATAGAGGGCAAGAAGAGCATTAAGAACATTTTGTTGAGACACAGTTCTTCTATACATAAGGATGCAAGCATTGAAGAAAAGATGTAGAGCCACTTATAATGTTTTATGAGACCAATATTAATGATAATATCTTGCAATAAGTTGCGTGCATGGTTAGGTGAGATAGTCTTTTCTTTAAGGAGGCAGGATGCAGGTCAACATCAAATTCTGAAGATGGATGATCCTGATATTTAAGAATTGAGAGAAAAGAAAACACTGGTGATTAATAAGAGAAATATATAAGCAGTGTATACTCCTTTGGTAAAAGAAAACGAAATATTGAATTTTAGCTTTTTAAGAACATGACTTATTTTTGTAGTTTTGAAAGCAACATAATAATGTACTGAAAAGAAAAAGCAATAAGTGTCTACGAAGCAACAAACAATTCAAGCATATAAATATCATTTTTCCTGATAACAGAAATCAATATGGAACTTTTTGAGTAAGTGATGTTTCCCTCCTTATATTTAAAGTACACCTTGTAGCCAGCGTCACAAAGTTGAATGATAGAGATGAGATTAAGTCCTAGACCTTTGATATAAGGAACATCCTTGAATTCTATAGTCATGCACTGAATCAATAAAAACGCCTTAGTTCTTCCTTTGTTGTTGTCTCCAAACGTCACTACATGGCCATCCTTTTAAACATAATCACTCATTAGATACTTACAACTTGACATATGTCTAGAGCATCTACTATCAAAATACAAAAAATGCTCCTTACCTTGCCGTGCTAAGAAAAAAATTAGGACACACTGACCCATTTTTCAATGGGTCTTTTCATTAAAAAAAATCATAACATGAAGTGGGAAGAAAATTTGGAGAGTTTTCCTTTTTGATCCTTTTCTTATTTCTTAAACGAATATTGTCAACTCTCTTAATTCCCTCACCAAAGCTACACTCACTGATCTTATGAGAAGGATCTCCATAACGATAGCATACCTTTATTCCATCTTTTTTGCTTTTGTTGACACTTCTAATAAATTTAGGTTTACAAAGAGTTGTAACTTTTTCATGAATTTTTGAATAATTCCTTGAAACATAGGATTTGTATGAGTGATAGGTTGTGGAGTGGTCCTAAGACGCTGGTGTACACAACGATTCGACAATATCAGAGGAATGAGAATTATCAGTGTCATGATAGTCAATAATATATCCACGAAACTCACCAAGTATCTCATGTGTGGAGTGAAATTTTCCATTAGAAATGGGAAACTTGAGATATAGCTCAGTGTTGGGGTACGAATATCAAAGGGTTTCTAATAGTTGGATCTAAAGCAGTTAGACGGGTAGTACAAACAGTGACACCTTCAGTGTAGTGTTTACCAATGCGAGATTGATTTACGAATGAGTGACTAATGAACTTAGACTTAAAATCTTCCTTGAGTTCATGAGAGGAAGGAAAGTTTTCGTTCAATTTCAATATGTTTATGATTGTTAACAGCCTCATCACACTGATAAGGTATTTCGATGTATATTATTTTATATAGCTTATGATTAGAGTGATCCCAACTATTCATAACACGTTTAAGTTTGTTAGCATACATTTCAACTCTACCCTTTTTAGAATGAAGATTAATATTGGTAAGAGACAAATTTAAGACTATAGTGTTAGTTAAAGCAAGATTATTTTCAATGTTGGACAAACTTTCCATCAGTGTGTCAATCTCTAACCTAAGTGAGTGTTCTTCTTGGTTAACCTTTGAGTGGTGATGACATAGATAATTAAACATGATACAGTTTTCATTATTAAAGTAAGTGACGAACATGTTTACCTAATATAAATATAAGGAATCCTAGTCTTTTCTTTTTGAATCCTCAACGGCTTTGACCAAATCAACTTCAAAGGTACCAATTCCTTTACTTCCTTTATTAGTGACTGATGCATAAATGTGAGCCATCAAACACTTGTCTTTACTTCCATCTTCATTAGATGATTTTCATCGTCTACCCAGTTTACAACTTTAGCAACTAAGATCATTACATCAATATTTTGTCTTTTCAAAGAAGCCAACAACTTATTACATTTTGCTTCATAATCATCATTGGTATAAAGTATTTCGGTTTTGCATTCCTTGGCAAAATGAATCAGTCCTTCACAATTAAAACACTTGAGCCCCTCTTTCTTTTCAGCATCATATTTTCTTCCAGTGTCATAACCTTTGGCCTTTGTTGAGTTAGTCCTTGATTGAAACCTTTTATCTCCATAAGTCTTCTTATCATTTCGATTAACATTAAGCTTCAATATCAGGGCTTTACCTTCAGATTCATCAGATAAGTCACTATCGCTATTCTGAAAAGACTTCTTCAAGTAGAGAAACACATATATGTGTTGGATTAATGTCTAAGTCCATAACTATAATTGGTAAGACTTGACCCGACCCGGCATGGTCCATTTGGGTTGCATACCATCATGCACTTGGATAGACTATAATGAGAGAAATAAGACACTTATGGTTATTAATATATTATAAGTTCTAGTGTATTAATAATAAGAATAATCAGATTATTTAATTAGTATTGATGAAGAATTAATCTAGGATTAATTAAGTGATCAAAAGAAGACTAATTAAATATATGGGTTGATTGTGTAAATCATCCATACTTATATAGTGGGCTAATGCTCCATGGATAATCAAGTTGGGCTAAAACCCATAGGATGGTCCATGGATCCAAGGAAATGGAAAGCCATGACAATTAAGGATTTACCCTAATTGTAACACTATATAAAGATATTATTCTTGACAAAATCGGCCACTAGTGAGAGTAACAAAAGGGCTAGCCGATTTCATGAAGTGTAGAACTCTCTCAAGTTATTCTAAGTGTTTTGATGATTGTGATTCCATTTGAGTCTTCCACACTATTGGGGCTAGGCACTCAAGCTTCATGAAGACTTTCTACATCAAAGAGGTATGTATTCTATCTTGTTATATTCATGTTTTGTATGATAGATTAG